TATGTTTGTAACAATGTTCTTCATACATATATGGTCATCTTCTATGTATGTACTTTTACCCGAATAAACATTTGAGCTTGAATTCTTTAATTTGAGTTCCAATATGGATGGGAACCCAGCAAAATTCTACTGTCTTATAACTTGCCAAACTCTTTTGTCATATGCATTAGTGACATAGATGAGAATATTACAAACCACATCATTAAAATTTACAGATGACACTAAGATTTATGATAAATTGAGATATGAAAATCTTATTGAGGCCTTACAAAGAGATCAACATGAATTCCACAAATGGTCAGAAAACTGGCAAATACTTTTTAATATTGACAAATGCAAGATCTTGCATGTGGGGCATAGCAACCCATGTTGCCACTACCAAATTAAAAACATTATCTTGCAGCAGAAGATGAAGAAAAGGACCTTAGAGTCAAAATCCACCACTCAATGAAAGTTGACAAGGTAGGAGCGGAAGTAAAAAAAAAAAAAAAAGCTAGCCAAACCCTAGGAATAATCAAACGTAACATTGACTTAATGGAAAAGAAGATAGTCATTAAAGTGTATAAATCTCTGGTGCATCCCCCATTTGTATTACTATATCCAAGCATGGAGACCTCATCTTCAAAAGGACATGACTGTATTGGAGAATGTTCAACTCCGAGCAACAAAAATCATTCCAGAACTAAGTCAATTCTAGTACCAGGAATAGTTAAGGGCCACAGGACTAACAACATTGCAAACCAGGCATGACAGGGTGGATCTCACAGAAACATTTAAAATACTAAACAATCTGGTGGATGTTGATCCAAAAAATATCTTGAAAATGTCAGATTTAACACAAAAAGAAGCCAAAACTCTGTTAAATTGTAAAATCCAGTAAGAAAAAATCATCAGGACAAATAGGGAAATCTTTGACAAGTCGCCAGCTTCCTGTCCTCATTGAGACCACTAGTATATTAGTGACCCCTCAGGTAAACTACCAGAGATAAGAAACAGCCAGTATTGGATTTTGGCTACCACAGGATACAAAGGGTTAAAAGGCTTCAGAGCCATAAGGGATCATGAGATCAACCACAATGACAAAGGAACATTGACGTAGAGAAAGCAGCTTACAAAGAATAAGCTGCTCTCTTATACAAAATGGTATAATGATTTGTCACACTGACAGACAGACAGACAAAACATGGATATATATCTAAATGTGTAATGTGTAAGTCAGAGTGAATGTGATACACATTCAGGTGGAACAGTCATGAAACCACAAAGATAACTACTTATTCACTGTCAGGTCTGTCTTTAACTCGAACCTACACTTGTTGTGGGTGTGTAGCAAGGTGAGTAACTAGTTAATCATGGAAAATTGCCAGATAGACAATAACACAATGAAACAGAGTTAAGTACTTACAGTATGCCAGCCTCACACTATCATATCAAATGACTAATTCATACAGCTCATAAAAGGTCTGAATGGCTGATCTTACACTGAAGTCTATCAGTCTGTCTCACAGAAGTCGTGCAAGCCCTCTACACAATTGCACATGGTATCTAGTAGATCAAACGCATGGCAGCAAGCAGGCAGATGTACATAAGGGACTGTGCTAAGTGGCACACAAGGTGTACAGGTGGATGAGTGTCACATGGTACGCTGGTGAACAGGTCACAGGTGACTGGACTTTCTCATTGGTATGGTTGATTACCACATGGTGTCTGGCAGCAGCTATACAATAGCTCAAGTGAGAAAATGAGAAGTGGCAGCTATATACAGTCTTGATTGTTCCTCCCAACTCATGTTTAAATACTTCACCCTTAGATCATTTGTGGCAGCTCTTTTGGTTCACAAAAAGTTCACTGAACACTTTTCTGCATCTCAACTGCACAGATAACTTGGATACAACACGATCACAGAAGTACACTTCTCACTGTCATGTTGCTTCTGGATGTACCTCATGGTATCCCTCTAGTCATTATTTAATTTGATGAAAATATAGCACAATGGATTTCTTACCGTTTGCAAGATATTTATGATGAATAAGGATGCTGTTTTTAACCTGATGGCCCAAGAACAATGACTGTTTCTACTTAATGGCCAATGAGCAAAGGTGCATATGCCTTCTATGACTGATGTTCTGGACAGGAATAGCCAGCTAGGTGCAACAAGCACACACTAGTAAACTCCAATCTTTGTTTCTAGGATTGGCCCATCCGAGGTGAATCGGTTGATATAGGCCAATTCGAGGTGAAGTGACTTGTAGCACAATGGACACATCATTGATTCTGGATTGACCGTTGAAGATGACCTGACTTACTATCACTCTCCATTGCCTAAGCTTTGCCTGAGGCAGAATGTTCCCTCCTGAGGCTTACCAAGATGGCTGATGCCTGGTGTTTGCATACAACAATGGAAATGCTATGCTTCCTCTATCTCCTCATTGACTAAACACACGACGGCCCTCGTGGCATCATTATGGGCTCTAATAAGATACTAAACAAGCTAAGCTAGTCCAGTACTAGGAGATAGATTTCGTGCACCTGGTAGTGCACAAAGCAGCTCACCTAGCAGTTAGTAGGTAATAGGTTAATAGGTAGTCAATAGGTCAGCTTATTTTGGGGGTTGCATCCTGGCAAAGATCAGTAATTTGAACATAGGTGGGGGCTTGATAAAAGCCTAACATGTGTATATATACACTGGTTGCCTGCCCTCAGACACAATGAATTATGAATAATAGGCCCTGTGAGCTGCACAATGAAAGCCTTCGTGATTTAGTGCACTTGCAGTTGCTCTGCAATGGGGGAAATGATAAACCATTCTCTCACACTTGAAAAGACAGGAATCATTGTAAGGGTGCTTCCAGCACCCTTACAATGATTCCTGTCTTTTCAATTGTGAGACAATGTAGGATGGGAGTCAAAATCCATGTTAACAGCCAAGAAATGTAAACCTAATTCATTCATGACTAATATCAGTTCTGCAATAACGGAACCATGACTATGAAAAACGAGGCCTATGCCTGGAACAAACCTGCTTGAGATCTTGTTGGCTTGAGGAGCACTATTGAATCAGCATCAGCGACAAGACTGACCAGGTACCAGCTGCGAGCTGTGGGTCACCTAGCAGCAATCACTGGTACTAACGGGTTTGAGTTAGTTTTGTGCAAACCAAGTTGTTTTGAATGATTCCTTAACAGAGTCATTTGACTTTCAATGCTATGTTTTTTTATGAACCTTGCAGTTCTGTAAAGCTTCACTGACTTTCTGAAGGCTTTCCTGGTGAGAACGGTGATGATAATCTCTTGTTTCTTGCACCTCTGAGGGAGCAGGTTCTGGTTCTGATCCATGGTAGGCCAAACAGGACTTCTGCAACTAATGTGACCCAATAGGGAAGAGTCATCACAGCGAGCCAGCTTCAGGAAGCCCACCAAGGGGCTCCACCCAGAAATACATGTAATACATGCATATAAAGTGTTTCAATCCTTCAATTCAAAATAGTTTAGTGTAGCTGCCTGTTTAATGATTCAATAAAGTTATTATCATTTTAATTATGTGACATTAAATTTCTTAGTTACCAAGTTATTAGTTATTTTATTGGACCATGTATATTAGGAAGAATTTTAAAATTTTCCTTACAATATAACATATCATATTGTACTCTGAATATCTCCCAATTTTGTAATTTCAATTTTATTTAAGAAGTATTCCCTTACTATACATTTCATAAATGATATCTCACCCATTACAGCACACACAATGACCGAAAATGGGCAGGAGAGGGGGGGGGGGGGCCGAGGTCACCCACACCAGCCCAGGGGCAGGAGAGGGGGGGCCAAGGCCACCCACACCAGCCTAAGGGCAGGAGAGGGGGCTGAGGCCATCCACGCCAGCCTAAGGGCAGGAGAGGGGGCCGAGGTCACCCACACCAGCCCAGGGGCAGGAGAGGGGGGTACTCAGGCCATCCACACCAGCCTAAGGGCAGAAGAGGGGGCTGAGGCCATCCACACCAGCCTAAGGGCAGGAGAGGGGGCTGAGGCCACCCACACCAGCCTAAGGGCAGGAGAGGGGGGGGGCCAAGACCACTCACACCAGCCTAACGGAAGGAGAGGGGGCTGAGGCCACCCACACTAGCCTAAGGGCAGGAGAGGGGGGCGGCCGAGACCACTCACACCAGCCTAAGGGCAGGAGAGGGAGCTGAGGCCACCCACACCAGCCTAAGCGAAGGAGACGGGGGGGGGGGGGCTGAGGCCACCTACACCAGCCTAAGGGAAGGAGAGGGGGCTGAGGCCACCTACACCAGCCTAAGGGCAGGAGAAAGGGCCAAGGCCACCCACACCAGCCTAAGGGAAGGAGAGGGGGCTGAGGCCACCCACACCAGCCTAAGGGCAGGAGAGGGGACTGAGGCCACCCACACCAGCCTAAGGGAAGGAGAGGGGGCTGAGGCCACCCACACCAGCCTAAGGGAAGGAGAGGGGGCTGAGGCCACCCACACCAGCCCAAGGGAAGGAGAAGGGGCCAAGGCCACCTACACCAGCCCAGGGGCATCACACTGGTCCCTTTGTCACATTATGGCACAGACAACAAGTGGTTCAAAATTTACAAAGAATATAGTTAAGCAAAGTATACAAAGAATATTGTTTATATAACAAGAGGTAAACAATGCCGGCACAGTATGATCAACACACCGTATATGATCACGGTGCATCCAAGTCACTTGGTAAATGTTCATTCCATGCAAAAAAAAGTCACATTCTTCTAAAGTAGCATTTTATAATTTGGGGTACATTTTATGTACAGTTAACATGACTGTACTAAAAAAATATATATTTTAATTTTATAAACTACTAAAGCGAGGAGTAAAAATGTTAGAAAAATACGATCGCTTAGTTTGTCTGAATTTTTAAGGTTTCTGTTTATTTGGGGTCAGGATTTTTAATTCCCACTATTGTATGCTGTTTGCATTCAAGTACTATACTCACATGTCCATATTAAATAAGGTAAATAATAAAATATTAAAATCACAAAAATGTATTATCATGAGCTTCAATTATCATGTCAACAGCTTCTAAGAGATTGTTGGCAATAAAGTCAGGTTTTACAGTTGGATGATTTTCACAGCTGTCAGTATACTTGCCAGTGCGAACCAGCACACCTCTGATGCCACACTTCTGGGCACCACCAACATCAGACACGATATCATCTCCTATCATCACAGCCTGGAAAATACAGTTAAGGAGTGTACTTACTTTATAGTTATTTTGAAAGTAAGGTAATACAAAATCTACCACTGGTCTATAATGATTAATTTATATGTAAGAAAGTAGCTATCAAAACAAGGCACCAAGCAGGGAAGACTATTGTAACAGTTGGTGTACGATCACCAAACACTGCTGCTACCCTTGTACTGTAACGTAATCAACTAACGTCACAAACTGTAACACTTACAGTAATGGTTGCTAAACTGGTAACCCTTGTGGTTGTAATAATTGTTAAATATCACCCCAGTGAACTTGTTGAGCTTGCCTTTGCAGCAGAGAATGCTCAAGCCAGTTAACAGGAGACGGGGAAAAGAACGATCAAGGATGTAAATACCTCTTTACAGTACTGGATGGTAAATCAGGATTACACAAACACAAATTAACGCCGCCACCACTTCTCCTGAATTTGCAGTAATCAAGCTAATTGACTCAGAAGAAGACCAGTCAATTAGTACAGAGTATCAGGGAACCTTAATGTTTTAATACTTTCAGGATGGATGGAATTCCTTTTAAATATACTTAAGACAAAGGAATATATATTGACATACATTGACATATACATAAAGATACTCGTATGAAGGCAGGTAATGTCCAAAACATATCGAGGTCTATGACTCGAAATAATTAAGGGAAAGCACTGTATATGAAATACACAGGAGAATAATTGAATCACTTTATTTAAAAAATGCAAATTAAGTAAACTCTAGGCTACAAAAATCCTATCCTTGAGGCAATGGAAATGGAACCACAAATTGTACAAGCAACCCAAACACAACACTTTACTGTATCCTACACCCAAGCTGGTGGTCTGGCTTGTCCCCCGTTGACCCAACACCTCTCGTGGTGCTCGTCCTGCTCACACTGTCCTCACCTCCCCCCTCCATTACAGGTAAATTTGTTACCTGTAATGGCAGACCTTCAACCTTACCAAAAGTTGTGAATTGCAGAATGAATGACTAGGTAAAAATTTAAATAAGGAGTCCCTTTACCAGAAATATGACAGACATATAAATGGCATACTTAGTGGGGCCATTAACAAGTTCAGTCGAGGTAACACTATAGCTGGGTATACCTATGCTATGTACTGTACCTGTCTATGAATGTGAGGAACAACATCCCCGTGGTCCAGTCTCTGACCAGGCTCCCCAGAGGCTCCCCAGTTGGTGATTTGGTCAACCAGGCTGTTCAGTGCAGCTGCTTGCAGTCTGATGTATGAGTCACAGCCTGGTTGATCAGGTATCCTTTGATGGTGTTTATCAAGTTCTCTTTTGAACACTGAGAGGTCTGCCAATTATGCCCAATATGCTGTATGTAGGACAGTGTTGCAGTGCTTCCATTGTGCGAGTCATACAGGGATGACAGCAGCAGCATATCTGACCAACTTACACCAGTTATCTAGTAATAAATTACCTTCATCTAGAATGAATCATCTAGTAAATCTTACCAAGTAAGATTTAAAATTCCTGCCGATATTCAGGGATTGCATCGGTTTTCTCAGACCTCCAGTAAACAGATGCCACTTTGAAACAGAATAGTGGACACCATTCCTGGGTGTGAAGGCCTCAGTACTGAGCGAGCAACCAAGGGTGGTGCATGCAGCACTACTGTTCAGCTTGTATCCACGGCTGAATCACTTAAAAATGGCATCACTTAATATGGGTACTCGCCAAGAGTCTGGATGTTTCTCCACATATAATCTTGGAATGATGTTAGGTGAGTATGGTTCTGTTAACTAAGGGTGGAGGTTGAGGGCTGAAATTGACATGCTGAGGGGTGAGGCCAAAATGTTGAGAGTTGAGGCCGAGAAGTTGAGGGTTGAAGTCAAGATGTTGGGTTAAGTTGGGTTGAATTAGGCAGCCCATCTTCCTGTTTTGGTAGTACTTATAGTAATGATGAGGACCATAGTACATATACCGATGTAAAATGCAATTAGAAAGTAGAAATTGATAGTATTGAATTTAGACAAACTGGAAAAGATTTTCTATTTATGTTGCAAAGACAAACTAAACTAACCTAACCTTCCTAGGCCTAATACACACTACCTGAGGCCTAACATAGTACATATGTGTGCTATACTAGGCCTAGGAATATTTAAGTTTGATTTTTGTTTCATTTTTTCAGAGTCTATAAAGTAAATAAGACACATTTCTACTATCTTATTGCTTAGTATGTCAGTGTTTGTACTTTGGTGCACATAGTTACAAAAAGTACTACCTAAACAGGAGGATGGGTTAGAATTAGGTTGGGTGGGTTGGTTGGGTTTGATTGGGTTAGGTTGGGTTAGGTTGGGTTGGGTTGGGTTGAGTTGGATTGGGTTAGGTTGGGTTGAGTTAGGTTGGGTTGAGTTAGGTTCGGTTTAGGTTGGGTTAGGTTGGGTTGAGTTAGGTTGGGTTGAGTTGGGTTGAGTTAGGTTGGGTTGAGTTAGGTTCGGTTTAGGTTGGGTTAGGTTGGGTTGAGTTAGGTTGGGTTGAGTTAGGTTGGGTTGGGTTAAGTTGGGTTGGGTTAAGTTGGGTTGGGTTGGGTTAGGTTAGGTTGGGTTGAGTTAAATTGGGTTAGGTTGGGTTGAGTTAAATTGGGTTAGGTTGGGTTGAATTAGATTGGGTTGGGTTGAGTTAGATTGGATTGGGTTGAATTAGGTTGGGTTCAGTTAGGTTGGGTTTCAAGAGTTAGATTGGGTTGGGTTGGGTTGGGTTGGGTTGGGGTTGGGGTTGGGTTGGGGTTGGGGTTGGGTTGGGGTTGGGTTAGGTTGGGGTTAGGTTAGGTTGGGGTTGGGTTTGGGATAACATAAACCAGTACAAGCTTGTTTCATCAGCATTATAAACTTGTATAGGAGATAGAAGGTAAAGAATCATCCAGATCTCCTCAAATTTCAACACACATGCCTCTGCACCTTTTACATTGGCAGATTGCTGTTCACCTTATAATTTCACACATCTAATAACCATGACGAACCTTAAAGCCCCTCACTGTACACACAATTATCACGAAGCTTCATTTGTTGCTGAAAATGCTTGTCCTTTTCCTTAATCAGCCATCCTGGCAGCGGCTCCTTTGATTCGTCATGTGTCTGCCTGTACTGTACTTCTCCCAGCCTCATCAACACTTAACACAAGCATTACTAATAACTTTTCTGTTGCATATTGCTACATCACTAACTTTTAGCATAACTTGCAAAAACCTCAGCCTTTAATATATCATGAAGAGTTCTTTTGCTAACTTTGTACTTGGCACAGATGACACTTCTAGGAATTCCAGATTCAAGTTTCTTTTTAAGAGCAATTATTTTTGTTAAATTCATCACATGTTTTCTCTTGGCTTCACTGCATGCTGAAGCCCTGAACAACAGATTTCCTGCATTTCCTGATGCACTAGTGGCAGGATGCAGTATGTATTCACAGATATACAATGGTGAAATAGGGAAAGGGCTTTGTCCACCGTGGGCAACACAAAAACAAGACTGGGTCGTCAGAACACGTGCAGAGGTCGCACCAAGGCAAGCCAGTAGCCGACTGCCAAACTACTTAGGCTTCTTGTGAGTGGAGGTTGGGAAGAAGGGTCGGGCAGTGTATTATATTGGAGGAAGGGAATATGCATGAAGCGTACCTAAAGTGGCACTGCAGTATGGGTACCTAAAGTGGCAGTAGTATGTATACCTAAAGTGGCACTGCAGCATGGGTACCTAAAGTGGCAGTAGTATGTGTACCTAAAGTGGTACTGAAGCATGGGTACCTAAAGTGGCAGTACAATGTGAATATACCTAGTGGCACTGCAGTGTGAATTTACTTAAAGTGACACTGAAGTGTTAATGTGCACCATTAAATAGCAATACACGAGTGTGCCTAAAGAAACAAATCAACATCTTGTATTGAACTGTTTTATTCTTTATTTTTAATACAGTTTTCCTTTTACATTCAATGTGCTTCAACCAAGCACAACCACTTTACAAATGGTTGTAAACCACTTTGACAAATCAAAACAAAAATAAACATAAAACAGAAATAAAATGATAAGAATATGCACTGACCTCTTCTGGTGTAATTCCAATGTCTGATAATGCTGCACTAAAAAATGACAGACAAGGTTTACCAACCACTTCACTCTTGATGTCACAGGCAAACTCCAGTGCGTTTGCAAAAGCTCCAACATCTAGTTGCAACTGGTCCTTGTGCTTGTAGTACTTCCTAAGAGAGTGGATAAATGTTAGAGCTCGAGAATGGTTCATATTTAGTTTATTAATGAATAACATTACATATATAGTACTGCACAGCCAAACTGGAAGTTTCTGAACTGAGACCCCTCAGTTGCTCCCTGTATTTACAGTACATACATGTTCTACCATGACAACTATGCATACCAAGCTTCCCTAGTTGTTCACTGCTGTTCCCATTGCCTGGTCAATGTTACTTCCCTGGGGGGGGGGGGGGTTCAGGTGTCTGCTCTTTTGTTTCTGCTCTTTTGTGTCTGCTTTTTCACGGCTGCCTCTTCTTTAGGAGTCTCCCTTTGCGCAGACCAAGACCTTTGCCAAGTCTGGAGGTTAGGGCAGATTTGTTTTATGGTGCACGTTCATATCGCAAGTCAGCATTAGGCTACGTGCTACCTTCAGCTTCACTCATTGCATTATCCCAAGCATGGTTAGGGGTTTGTTCAGCTGATATCCCCGTGCCTGGTTTTCCCAGAAAGGATTTTACTTGCCAGTGCTGAAAATCCAAAAAACCAGCGTTGAATGTAATGAAACGCCATTTTCTGGGGAAGTACCGGAGGCTTCCCAAGGCTATCCAGGCTGAATGGATATGTATATCTTTCTGGCATCAGTCAATGCATGGAGTTCTTGCCTACCGGGAACCAAGAGCCAGAACCTGACCCCCTCTAGAGAGGCACGAGGAGCAATGGCCTATAGAGACCCCCCATCCCTGTGATTGGGAGCATTCTATGTCTGCCATCGACTGGGACAGGCACTCAGAAAGGTAGGCGCCCCAAAACAAACCCCTATTCTGGTAAAACTATTGCGACCGAAGGCCAAACAAGTGGACGAACTCCCCAAACAAAAATTGGCAAACTAGCATGACGTCATCATATCGCTGCGCCGCTGTTTGCACAACCACCCCTTCCTTCTCTGGGAGGGGGAAGGGGGAGCTACAGACCAACCTGCCAGCGACCCAACCTTCAGTCCTTAGGCTGGATGTCAAAAACTGCGAAAAAACCAGCGTTGAATGTAATGAAACGCCATTTTCTGGGTGAGACCCGGAGGCTCCCCGGAGCTTTACCGGCTGATATGCTAATGTCAGACTTTGGCATCAGTCATGTGTATGGAGTTCTAGGGCCTACCGGGGACCACGAGCCAGAACCTGGCCCCCTCAGAGAGGCAAGGGGAGCAATGGCCTATAGAAACCCCCGTGTGGTTGGAAGCATTCTATGTCTGCCATCGACCGGGTCAAGCATCCAGAAAGGTAAGCATTCCAAAACAAACCCCTATTCTGGTGAAAATTGCTACCTAAGCCGAACTAGTGAATAGAACTCTTCAACAGAAAACACGGAAACTAGTATGACGTCATACGTCACCGCGCCGCTGTCTGCGCAGCTCCCCCCTCCCCGGGAGGGGGAAGGGGGAGCCCCAGACCTCCCACGCCGGCTATCCACCCATCAGTTCTGAGGCTGGATGTCAAAACACGCGAAAAACGCCGACCGGAGGGAGGGAGGGTTGCCGGGGAGCCTCCGGGTCTCACCCAGAAAATGGCGTTTCATTACATTCAACGCTGGTTTTCTGGGGGGAGCCCCGTCGGCTCCCCGGAGCTAACTACCCACAGAGGAAGGTCAAAGGGACAAAACCGGGAGGCGGACACCACGCACCCCCCAAGGAGGCGAGACAACCGGCAGCAAACGCCAACCCAAGGCGCCACAGCCCCGAAAATCCCGGGAACAACACGAGAACCACGAGCAGCAAGGCCCCTGCACGAACACCAAAAATCCATGCTCGAAAGACTGCAAGGCCACGTCGCCCAGACGGCAGCGAGAGCAGCGAAGCCACGAACGCCACAGGCATGAGGGAAGAACACAGGCAGCTTAGCCGCAAGAACACGGCTGACCACCCGGGACACCATCACCCGCGAACCGGGAAGAACAGAACCGGATCAACGCAAAACGCGCTCCGGACCCAAACGCCGTGGCACGCAAACAACAGCAGAGGGCCGCCACTGAACACAAAAACGACACACCCCCGGCCCGACCAACAAAGCACCAACAAACCCTGGACCCCTCCAGAATGCAGCAGCCCCACCCCCCGCCAGAAAAGATGGAGACTGCTGCCATCAAACAACCAAAACGCTAAAACCGAAGGAGCAAGAAAACACAGCGAACCGACCCCCAGAGGCAAAGGCCCAAAGGAAAGAGCCGACGAAAAAACACACTGGAACCGAAGGGGCACTACCAACCGAGGAGAAGACAGAGCACGCTGACCAGAGACCAGGATGGTGCAAGCGGCGCACGAACAGGCCGGAGGTGAAATGACGCACAAGACAGCTGACTAACGGTGCAGAAGCAACACCAAGACCGAAAGCAAGCTGAAGCGGCTCCGCCTGCGCCGCACGAAAAGAGGCGACAGTATGTGGCAAGACGACGGCCCCCAACCCCTACTAGAAAACCAAGCCGAGAGTAAACCAAGCCAACAAGAAGGACCCACCGAAGAAGGGACAGGAAAAGGAAGGACCGCCAAAATACCCCATACTGCCGCCAAGAAAGCACGCAGGTGGGACACCTACCACGAAGCCACCTGACCACCAACCGGAGGCGAGACCACGAGGCAGAACATAAGCAGCCCCGACAAGGCCCCCCCGAGCCCAGGAAAAAGGCGGAGCCGCGAGAAGATCTCGGGCGCGACCACCGAAACCCAGGCGGCACAAGGAGATGGAACGTCTGCCGAACAGAAAAACTCCGAAGCATGCAAGCCCGCCAGGAGTTCAGAAACGACGGGTCCGACGCGAGACATCGCAAGACCCCCCCCAAAAAAAAAAACAACCGGCAGGGCAAGCTAGGAAACCAAAGAAGGCGGAAGGGTCGCCGCCAGAACAGGACCCGAACCAAGGGGCACGAACAACTGCAACAGACCGAGACAAAGAAGCACATCACAGGACACAGGCTGACAAACGCCTAAGAACACACGCAGAACATTCCTGCTGCAGAAGAGGCAGGAAGAAAGAGCAGAAGCACAAAAAAAAAAAAAAAAAAAAAAAAAAAAAAAAAAAAAAAAAAAAACAGGAGAACAACCAGGGGTGGACAATCAGGCAGGGACAAAAACCCCACGCAATCCCCAGGCACAAAACGGCAGCAAAGCGCCACTCCACAACCGGACACAGGAACAAGGACACGCCACCGTGAAACACGGTACCAATGCTCACGTGCAGCAGCAGCAGCAACAGGCACCACTGCAACATGCAACATGTAAATAGCAACTCCCCTCTGCAAAGGCAGAGAACGGAGCAGGCAGACCCCAGACAGGGCCAACGGAGACACGACAAAACCCTGCAGGCCCAGAAACCTGCACCAGGCGACCGACGGCGGAGAAAACCCCGCTCGATACCTGCTGGATGAGGTACTGGGAGCTCTTTTACACCTCAAGCCCGGCCCAAGGTCAGGCCAGACCGGCCAGAGGATGGCCCACCAGGCAGCTGCTAGGAGCAGTCCACCGGTCCACATACCCCCACAACCAGGACGGGCCGGAACTGCCATACGAAAACAGGCCAGTGCGCCCTGGAAGTCCACGGACGAACCAGCAAGAAGGCTTATGCTCGCAAGTAGGTCGTGTAACAAGCACAGACCACTGATGGTAATACAGTGTTCCCCAAAAGTGCCAATAGCACCACTGCACGCCGCTGGTACTATCCCGCAAGTTCTACCAGATAGGCGGGACCCAAGAGCCAGAGCTCAAATCCTGCAAGCACAGCCAGGAGCCTCACCAGGTGAGTACAGAACCAACCCTACAACCCCCACACCTCACAACATTAAAAAAGGAGGGCCCCCTGAATGACTCCAGCATGGGTTGGACATGCACATGAGGGGGACAGGAAGGGGTGATAAAGGGACAGTCACTGGTGTGCGAACGGTCTCAGTCGTACAAAATTATACCTAAATAAAAACAGGTATATGAACACCGCCGCATCCAGCGCCCGGCCAAAAGACGCCAGACCGCAGAAACTCACCTGGCGAATGGTGGCTCGAACTTGACACGACTCAACCGTGCCCAGAAGAACTTGGGAGCACCGCCAGGTGAAGACGCCAGAGCCGGACCCGCAGGAGAACAGGGAGAGGCGAAGGAGGCGGTCCACACCCATGACACAGAAAACCGCGGTGTCCTCCCCACAACTGGGAACCAGGACACCCCTGGTGCAAAGGGGCACATACCGCAGCCAGGGAGAAGAACGAGAGGCGAAGCACTGTAGCAAAAAAGGGCGCAAAACCCCAGCACTGAACCATCGCCCAGACCAAAACAAACTCCACGGCGCATGCGCATAACACGCTGGCCGAACCGCACACCCTCCCTGCGGGAAGGCGCCAGCCAGGACTATTGCACGAGAAAAGGAGCCAAAAGAGGAAGCAGGAACAATAAAACCGGCCAAAGAAGCAAAGAGCCCAAAAAAAAGGGAACCCAAACGGGCGACAAGTAGCCCAAACGGGCGACAAGTAGCCCAACCGGGCGACAAGTAGCCCAACCGGGCGACAAGGAGCCCAACCGGGCGACAAGGAGCCCAACCGGGCGACAAGTAGCCCAACAGGGCGACAAGTAGCCCAACAGGGCGACAAGTACTAGGAGCCGACAGACGTTCCAATAATGCGGGAAGTAGCGAAAAACCTTCCCGTACCCTCGAGAACACAGAAGCCAACACTAGTCCCGAAGGCACACGAAGGCGCAGGCGCACCCGAGATCAAAAGTCACGCAGAACCCCAACGAACGGGGAAACATGACAAAAACACCGTCCCAAAAAGCGGGGGAGGAAACATCCACCCACAGGACGGAACCAACCGACTCAAAGGCCAAGGAACCGAGCCCGGGGAGGGGCCGACGTCCAACAGCACGTACGGCGAGTGGGGAGGAAAGACCCCACTCCGCGTAACCACAAGCCCCGCCTAGAGGGGGATAAAACCCCCCACGGGGTCTAACGGGGCCAAGGCCCCCCCAAGGCAGCCCCTCCCCAGCCCCGGGAACCTACACGACAGGCCCCGGGGCCGAGCCGTTCCCCCAAAGCCCCGGCCGTACCAGAAAACCGGGGCAGCCGTGAAAACACTAAGGAAGGGAGCCCACTGGCAGACTCATACAACACGGCTGGAGGAACAGGCCCAAATGCCCCCGTCACTACCCCGGAAGGGGAATTCCCCGAGACTGCCCGAGTCTCAACACCACGAAACACCCCGCCCTGAACCTACAGACGGTAAGGAACCGGATGCAGGCAGGAAGGGTGAACCAGGGGAAAGACAAGGGGGCGTGGATGCAACCAACACCCCCAAGCTCCCAAAACGAAATACAACGGGGCAGCCCCGGGGCTCCCGGGGAGGAAACCACGAGAACGTTGCCACCACCAAGGCTCAAGTGCAACGCCCCTGCTGCCCGCACCCGCTTTGTTAGCACAACTGGGTAACCGAGCCACAACGAGCAACCAAACTCGCAGGACACCGGGTCGAAGGTGTCACCGACCCCACAGGCAGCAGACGGAGGCAAAACAGAGAGTCACCCAGAGACAAAAGGTGAGAGCAACCCTCAAACTCGCTGGAAGCGAGGGGGGGGCTCTGGGGTCACATCCATCGGACCCGCGCGCCCCCAGGGGTTTCCCAGGGTCCCGAGCGTTTACTTTAAGAGGACTCGCGCTCAGGTAATCCCAGGCAGGGTACTGCTAACCGGCACCCAAGCTACCAAACAACTTTCTAAGAGCTGAACCCCCGGGACGTGTACACTCACGGGGACCTAGCAGGGGGTACCACCAGAAATACTCAGAACACAAGGGACACAAGGGGCAAGAACGAAGGCAGACCCCCCCACCAGGTATATAAACAAAAGAAAAAGAAAACCCCGCAAGAGGACAGCGTACCCAAGCGGAACAGAGCCGGCCGCTATGATTGGTAAAGACAAGCTGCACAGTACCCCGCGCCCCACCAGTGCAAACACCGCCCCTTACTCTAAGGCGAACATGGGAGACAGAACACCCGAGCACACAAAGAGCGGCCGAAAACCAAGCGGTAAACGGCCAAGCAGGGGCAGGACCCAAGGAACTTGTGGAAGGTGGCCCCAAGCCCCAAGGGCAGTACTTACAAGGCACCTAGGGAAGGGAACCCGAGGCGCATGCAGCCCGAGTACTGAAGAATCACACCCGGCTCACGCACCACCTAGAAAACAGACACCACACTCTAGGTACAGTGCTGAAACAACCACTGGAGCCGGAGCACATAACCATTGCCAATAGCATCAGCCGAAGAACTGATGGGTGGATAGCCGGCGTGGGAGGTCTGGGGCTCCCCCTTCCCCCTCCCGGGGAGGGGGGAGCTGCGCAGACAGCGGCGCGGTGACGTATGACGTCATACTAGTTTCCGTGTTTTCTGTTGAAGAGTTCTATTCACTAGTTCGGCTTAGGTAGCAATTTTCACCAGAATAGGGGTTTGTTTTGGAATGCTTACCTTTCTGGATGCTTGACCCGGTCGATGGCAGACATAGAATGCTTCCAACCACACGGGGGTTTCTATAGGCCATTGCTCCCCTTGCCTCTCTGAGGGGGCCAGGTTCTGGCTCGTGGTCCCCGGTAGGCCCTAGAACTCCATACACATGACTGATGCCAAAGTCTGACATTAGCATATCAGCCGGTAAAGCTCCGGGGAGCCGACGGGGCTCCCCCCAGAAACACCGCCGACCGGAGGGAGGGCAGGATGCTGGGGAGCCTCTGAGACTCGCCCAGAAAATGGCGTTTCATTACATTCAACGCTGGTTCCCTGGGGAGAGCCCCGTCGGCTCCCCGGAGTTACTTCACCACAGATAAGGAAAAGAGGGAAGGATCTGGGAGCCGGATGCCATGTGCCCTAACATGAAAACAAGACCACAGACGAAAAGAAAGGGCCCTGCAGACGACCCAGGAGATCCAAACTCCAGAACAGGAAGGAGGGGGAACCCGGGCAAACCAAAATGCGTCCCAAGCCCCAGAGGCCAAGACGCGCAGAGAACAGCAAAGAGCTGCAACCGAACAACAAAAGAAAGCACCCCCGGCCTGACCAATTACCCAAGGACCCCTCCGGAAAGCAGCAGACCCAAACATCACCCGAGAAGAAGGAGACTGCATCAAAAGAACAACCTACCACGAGGACCAATGAGGCAGAAGACACAGGCGCCAGAGGAGAGCCAGAAACTCCCCGACCCGACCCCTAGATGTCAACAGCAACAGGAGGCCTGAAAAACAAAAAATACACCAGAACCGAAGGGATCACGACAACCGAGGAGAAGAAGAAAATAGACCACCCAGGCCAACGACCAGGACAGCACGGGAAGCGCAAGATCAGGCCGGAGGCAAAACAATGCCCAAGACAGCAAGCGGAACGGAGCAGAAGGAACAGCAACACCGAACGCAAGCTGGAGTGGCTCCACCAGCGCCACCCAATATGAGGCAACAGTACATGGCACCAGAAGACGGTCCCGGAACAACCCCGAAGGGAAAGACAAGACAACCCTATCAGAGGTTGTCTTATTTTTGCAGACAATAGGAAAACCCTTCGCAGACAATAGGAAAACCCTTCGCAGACAACCCATCGCAGTGATAGGAATACAGAAGGACCACCAGGAAACTACACACTGCAGCCGAGACGAAGCACGCAGGTGGAAGACCAACAATGAAGCCACCAACGCCCACGCAAGCGACGAGAGCACCAGACAAAACCCCCAGACACAAAGACCCGAGGGAAAGAACGAACCAGCCCCGTACAGGGCTGGACCGATTCGCAAAAGAGGCGGAGCCATGGGAAGCCCCACAGAATTGGAACCGAGGAAAACAGAGCCCCCAAACATGGCTGGCAAAACATCGCTGCCAGGGAACCAGGAACCCAAACCCGGCAAGCCAAAAAGAACCAACCCGGACGAGTAGAAACGCCCTGTCCGGGAGGACCCCCCCCCCAGGACCCTGGAAGGACGAACAAGGCCAAACACAAAAGAGCCAGGGCCCAGGCAGAGGCAAACAAGGAAAACGAGCACATAAACGAAAACGTGAGACGCAAAGTGAAAAACAGCGACCCCGCAACCCTAAGGAGCAGCACAACCAGCTCCAGCAGGGAAGAACGACGCATGCGTTTCTGAGGTATACAGGAGAAGAACTACTCAGGACACGTACCGCAAGAAACAAAAACACACGTCCCAGAAAAGGAACAAAGAAAAGCCGGAGCCAGGGCCGGAAATCAAGCCACCTCTGACTCCAGAAAAGGAACCAGGAGGGCAGGAGCAGTTGACCGGAAGACCACAACCTCCCGCAGACAGTGCAACACAAAAGCCAGTAGGGAGAACAAGTAAAAAGTGAACACAGTACCAAAGCTGAACACTGGGGTAGTCCAAACTCAGGGAACTGAACATGGACAGAGGCCCACCCCAGCACTTAACAACAGCAGAGCCAATAAGCATCGACCAAGATACAGACAGCCATGTGTAGCATAGAGGGGGAAAAACAGAAATAGGCAAGGAAAAGACCGGAATACAGACCAAGTAGCAGTCGGTAAGGCAATGTACACGACCAACTACGTGTGTTGAGGGCGGTCGCACACACACACACACAGAGGGACACCATGGTGGATATCGATGTGCACCCAGGCACTGAAGATAGGCAAGGAAGGAGTATCCAGAGACCAAGTAAAGGAAGGAGGATACAAATCATGGACCGGGGGAACGAAGGAGTGTCCAAATATCAAGAAAAGACCCAGGCGCCAAAAACAAAACAAAAAATACCGAAAAGCGGGCAGTGCCCCACAGAACAACAAGAACAAGATACATCAAGATACATGGACAAAGTAATCCTGTTCAGGAGTTCAGCCCAGTTCCGCATATTTTACACGAAGTTGTAACTTCATGCACAGAATACAGTACACAGTATTACATTTTCTTTGTAGTTTTTAAGGATTCTAACATAGTTTTTCAACTGCAATGATGTTGTGGGCTGTCAGTAACATTATTTATAATGTTATTGACAATTATTTAGCAATTCTGTAGGTTGTGTTAATCTCATAATCTAAGTACAGCATAGCACCACACACTAAGCAGTTACCGATGGCATCTGACAAAATAAAGTGCCTCCCAATATAGTACTCATATCGCTAACTCTAGCCACAACACTGATATTATCAGAATCCAGAATCTGATATGAATCATTTTCATAAAATAAATATGAATAATTTTCCACAAGTTTATTTTCTAAAGGAACATGATGTTTCATTTCATGATGCATACATGCACCAAACTGCGGCTGTGTGCTGTGAACATCGTAACCAGCACTGGGTTAACCCACATCTGAACTTTATACAGTCATCACAGTCAGGATCTTCTATGACACTCATCATTATATAAATCCAGTTACTTATTTATTTCATTACTAATTGAAGCTGTGGGAATGAGTTGCATGGCAGTGCTGCTGCTTTATGCACTACACATGGTTGCTCTCCCAGCATTGAGGCCCTCACAACCAGGAGTGCCCACAATTTTTTTCATGATGTCTGTTAACTGGAGGCCAGAAGCAGCAGATTTGCATCCTGTGTACCACAGGAGTTTTAAATTTTAAGGAGTACTTTAAAACATCCCTGACCATGTGGCTGAGCAGCTTATGGAAAATGATTGAGAACATCCCTGAGTCATGCAGTTGCAGGGATAATGTCATGCACAACTAGTGACACGATACAATTTGAGTGTATTCACATATTTCAAATTGGTTGCTTTGAACCACATTTTACCACAAAGCAACTTGTTTCATGGAATATCTTATTGCAAAACTTACCCATAGCCAAGGGCAAAAAGCTTTGGCTTTTCCATGGTCTTCAATACCCTGAATGCTGCATTCATATTAGCAAATGAAAATGCTTCGTCTGCATCCCCAATTACTACACACGTTGGAGTCCCAGTCACCATGTCCTTAAACTCCAGCTCAATCTGTAGTGGTGAGAAACACTTGTCATTTCACAAATTACTCAATTATAGTCCAGTCATAAAAACAATATTCTGGGATGTCCAACAAGTGATACTTTCAACTTTATTGAGCTAGCAAGTTGCCTTCTACTCCAGCAAGAATTAAATGTTAAGAATTTACAAGAATATTTTTACAAGATTGTACAAAAATTCTTTAGAAATATGCAGTATATTTAAGTTTGTATATTCAGCTAGAAAAACCCAGTGCTAGGATTTTTTTTGTTATAAAATTAACCACACAATCAGGTACAGAAACAAGATTTGTCTAGCAGGCTGGTTAATTTTAAGTATCATAGACCAATATCACTTGATTCCCCATAAGTATTCCATACCTTATAACAAAAGGAACTAAAAATATAAATAAGAGTGTCTTACAAACAGTTGAGCATTAACATTTAACAGTTCACTCCCCTCCAAAATCTCTATGGTAAAGATATTAAGACTAACCATAATTTGACTGTCTAATGCACCAAGCAAGCACACACACATTCAAGAAATTACTCAAAACATCATTAATACCCAATTATTTCCCCATACTTTATTGGTGACTTTCACGGAGTGTTATCATAAATTCACACCTTCATATGATGGATATCCACCAGCAGAACATGACTATACAGAGTTATCACACTCATCCCTGGTCTTCCCACAGCTCAATGTGTTCAATCTCCTGCAGATACAAGACCATATTGCCTTCAATATAAAACCAGCACACATGCCACATCCCAAGATAAACCCTGCCCCAAGGGAGGGGGTTGGAAAGATCAGAGACGGGGCAAACCGTGCTCAAAGGGCAGGAAGAGGTTGCTCAGATGGAGCCAAGGTAAAGTTCACTAACACCTCCAATTCTGGGTCTCAAAACACAAAGCAGGCAAGCTCCAGAGCGTCCAATTTGACACATAACAGACTGCTGAAGGTAGGCAAATGAACCCATAAAACAGTAGCTGCCTGATATGTTTGAATATCATCAGGACGGTCAGAGAGAAGAGCCACATGGGGAACGCAAACCCCACATAACTCTAGAGTCGTAGATGCCTTAGACTCAACAGGCAGCATGACGGAGGCAGAACAAATGATTGTCACCTCATGGTACGAAAGATGAGCAACCCTCAAATTCGTACAAGGCAAGAACAGGCTCGGAGGGAATATCAACAGGCCACACCAAACCAGTAGGGGATTTTCAGGGCCTGAAGGGAAAACCAAGCAGGACACCCAGGTACTGGGGATGTGTCGCCAGACCTAAAAAATAAGCCAACACATCTTGGGTCAGAGGTGTGCAAGCCAACTTTTATACACCATCCCTGCAAAAACAAAATGTAACTCTCTCTATTTTCTCCTTATTACAACTTGTAATAAAGTTGTTATATCTTGGTATAATGTTTTTACGATGTAATAGAACATTGTTACAACTTGCTATATTGGTTCTTACAACTTGTTAGGTGTTAAACCTTGTTCGAACGTTGTAGCAACATCGTAGTTTCATCGTGTGTATGGCAGGTTATGTACAAGCATGCAAGCCATCAATGCACCCCAACCAGCCAATGCTTGCTCCAGTCCTGGACCATAACAGAGGGGGCAATAAAGAGGCAAAGCAATAAGAGTCTGCATGTGGGCAATAAAGCCTGACTTACCCAACGTGAGGGCCATCCAAAGCTGGATAGACCTCAGAGAGCAAACTCCTGAACACACCAAAGAAGAAAACTCTTTCAATGCAAGGGCAGTGCTATGGAGAACCCAGGGAAGGTAGCCCTCAGCATATGCAGCTCCAAACACTCCAAAGGCCAGGCTCATGCTACACCAACAGTGCACAACCCAAGGCCACACAGGACAATGTCCAATAAAGGCACTTAGCTGAAAAGCACTGGGGCCAGCCATGGCTTACTGACAATCTGGTAGCCCAACAGTAGATGTGTTGATCACACTGCATCAGTGAAAGAATTGAATGCTCTAGCAACTAGACATTGTGTGCCCTGCCCCACCCTCCCCAAACGAGAGAGGGTGAGGTGAATGGATGCACGCTTGTTTCGAAAGATTTGATCATTTGTTTACAATGTTGGGTGAGTTCATTTGTAGGATTTGAGGCTTAATCTATTTTGAACCCAGCAGTGGTCTGTTTTGATTCACTGACTTTCTGGATGCCTTTCCCAGTAAGGTGGTAGGGTGTCATGTGCTTCCTGTGGCTCTGTGGAACCTGTGGCTCTGTGGAAGGGGGAGGAGGCAGGTTCTGGCTCTGGTCCTCAGTAGGCCAAACTTAACGCCATGGGTGATGTGATCTAGTAGTTGGGAGCCATCTCAGCGAGATAGCTTCAGGAAGCCACAAGAGGCTTCTCCCAGAAAAGGTCATGCAGATTTCTGAACATGAAAAAGCATAGTGAATAAATATGTCAAACAAGTGCTAAAAAAGTTAAATACTGCCATCTACAAAGGAGGGGGCATGCAGTTTGGCCACTACCTCTGCCTCAGCCACCAACGTGCAGAAGGGCCTCCACCTGTGGCCCCTAAGCCAACATGTTGAAACCACAATGAAGTTGACCAGACAAAAACCAGCACTGAATGTAATAAAATGCCTCATTCTGGTGGGTCCAAGGTGACTCCCTGTTACTTGTCACTCTGGTAAGCTCCACACCTATACAGTCACACCAGACCCTTGTGAGTCAATAAGAGCATACCAGGGACCCGAGGCCAATACATGTTACCCCTCAGAGGCACAGAAAGTATGGAATCTGTGATCACCCTCACCATGATAGTAGCCACCAGAAAGGTGGAACGAATGAAAGATAACAGTAAGGTACGACAACAACTCAGTACTGTAGTTAGATAGTTCACACTCTAGTTCCAAATGTCCTCCACCTGTTGGCAGCACTTGGAGCTCGTGGATCTATCAGTGAGCCGCCTCAGTCAAGAGTTGCCCAGAAGAAAAAATCAACTCGTCTGGAAGGAGAAAGAAAATCCAAGGGAAGGCAACCAGAAGATTTCTGGTTGCCTTTCCTGGTGAGGTTGTGAAAATATGTGTCACCATGCCCTGCACCTCTCTGAGGAGGGGCCAGAATGGCACTGGTCTCCAATAGGCCTACAGAACTCCACAGCTGATGTGACCTGGTAGATGATACCATCTCAGTATAAATTGCTTAAGGGAGCCACAAGGGGCTTCCCCAAGAAAAGGCTTGTCCTAGTAATGAAGAAAAAGAATGTCTAATCGACCTCACACAAAATACAATGTTACACAGAAAACACAGACACGATCCCAGAATAATGCAGTGCTGGGCAGGACACAAGATGATGGGGGACGGGAGTGATGTCATAAACGAGGAGAGGGGGGGAGCACAGAACACCTCCCCCCCCCATCTCTCAGAATGGAGACCCCCCACCCTCTAGGACAGGAGCCCAGTCAACAAACACCTCATGACAACAAACATCGCAGGCACCACAGTGGAAGGGATCAAACCACTCTACAGGCAGCAGAGCAGAGGCAGTAATGAATGACATTAGCCATATAGCAAGACTGGCAAGCCAGGGCACCCTGAAGTACTCCAGGACCTGAAGGAAAATCTGGCAGGGATTCCAGGAGCTCCTCGTCAAGAAAAGAAAATACCTAATGCAACCTAAAGGGACAAATGCAGCTCCAACAATCATTGAAACCTTGTAAACAAAGCCTGCAAACACCTCTCTGTAGCCCAGAGAAAAATAATCAACCCGATCACCCCAACCTCTGAGCCTCACAGAGAAGTCAGACCCCTACACTACTCAAGGAAATGAACCCTCCTTCCAGAGGCCAGCCTCTTAAGAACAAATACACAGGTGAACTGCCAAAAATTTGGAAGACGGCTAATATAGTCCCAATATTCAAGAAGGGTGACATACAGGAGGCATTGAACAGACAGGCGGTCAGTGTCACTAACTTGTATACCATGTAAGGTGATGGAGAAGATTGTGCGAAAAAAGCAAGTGGAACATCTGGAGTGGAAGAACTTTGTATCGCAACATCAGCATGGGTTCAGGGATGGCAGATCATGCCTCACAGGACTGATTGAATTCTATGACCTGGCAACAAAAATCAGGCTAGAAAAAGAGGGATGGGCAGACTGCATATTTTTAGATTGCCAGAAAGCCTTTGACACAGAACCACATAAGAGACTTGTGCACAAACTGAAGATGCAGGCAGGAGTGAAAGGGAAGGTACTCTACTGGACAAGAGAGTACCTAAGCAACAGAAGACAGAGTCACTGTGAGGGGTGAGGTCTCTGAGTGGCAAGGCATCACCAGTGATATCCCTCAGGGATTAGTTCTTGGACCTATACTGTTCCTGATATATGTAAATAATCTCCCAGAAGGAATGGACTCGTTCCTCTCAATGCTTGCTGATGATATAAAAATTATGAGGAGGATTAAGATAGAGGAAGATAGTATGAGGCTACAAGATGACCCAAACAAACTGAAGGAATGGTCAAACAAATGGCTACTAAAATTCAACCCAAGTAATGAAACTAGGGAGAGGAAATTAGGAGACCAGACACTGGATACCAAATGGGAGATGGAGTCCTTCATGAAACGGACTGAGAGAAAGATCTAGGAGTTGATATCACACCATACCTGTTTCCTGAAGCCCATATAAAAAAAATAGCATCAGCGGCATATGGGAGGCTGGCTAACATCTGAACTGCCTTCAGAAACCTGTGTAAGGAATCTTTCAGAACCTTGTATACTACATATGTAAGACCAATCCTGGAGTATGCGGCCCCAGCATGGAGCCCACACCTTGTCAAGCACAAGATGAAGCTGGAAAAAGTTCAGAGGTATGAATTAAGAGGCATGAGTTACGAGGAAAGGCTGAGGGAACTGCACCTCACATCGCTGAAAGACAGAATAACCCGGGGAGACATGATCACCACATACAAAATTCTCAGGGGAATTGACAGGGTAGACAAGGATGGATTATTTAACACGGGTGATACACCCACAAGGGGACATAGGTGGAAGCTGAGTACCCAATGAGACAGAGACATTAGAAAGAACTTTTTCAGTGTCTTAGTGTCAGAGTAACTAGTAAATGGAATACACTAGAAAGTGATGTGGTGGAGGCTGACTCCATACACAGTTTCAAATGTAGATATGATAGAACTTGAGAAGCTCAGGAATCTGTACACCAGTAGAATAACAGTTGAGAGGCGGGACCAAAGACCCAAAGCTCAACCCTCCTCAAGCACAACTAGGTGAGTACAAACCCACCAGCGATGGCAACCTTGTCAGAGCAGGGACAACAGCAATCACTTAGGAATGATTAACCCTAAACACACGCAGCTAAAGGTGAACAGTTAACCAACGTTTACACAGAGACACCTGTGAAACAAATACAATACTACAAATTGGAGCAATACACAAGCAAACTAGCCTTGCAGAACAAAATTCAATGGATGGCTAGCACTTGTCTGGAAAAAACGAGGACCCCGCAGGGTTAGCAGAGATTGGGAGCTGTAATTTCTGTCACACCAGGCAATTTTATCACACCAGGTTCACTGACTGATCCATGAGGAGGTCAGTCAGGTAGCAGCACTAAGTGGCAGCACCACCTAGTGCTGCCACCTGGTGGTGAGGAGTTAGAACTAGAAGGTAAACTGCCAAACTACCGAGTAGATCATTTGACGAGTTGTAGATTTACGCTGCTGTTGTCCGTTTTGTCTTGCCCAATTTTCCCAGTAACTATCATCATGATGAGGATGATCACAGATTCCCTGTTGTGTGTGTCTCTGAGTGGGCCTGGATTTTCCCTCTGATCCCCAGTATACTCTTAAGTGACTCATAAGAGCCTGGTATCACTGGATAGATAAGGAGCTAACCAGAGCAGCTACCAACCCCAAGGACGGTGTAACAACCAACCAACACTGGATTAATGTGTGTAAACAGTACTAACTAAAAGTGTTCACTCTCAAGAAGCAGTGTATGAACAAATTGAGACACAAAGCAGTGTATGAACAAATGTTCTCTCACTTTGTGAATTAACTTTTGTTCACAATTGTAATTTATTATACAACAAAAATTTGAAAAATATACTAAAATGACTAACAGCAGGATGGACCAATATATGTGGAACCAGCCCTTGGTTTTTTAAAATTGAGATGACTGCTGGAACTGGACTGAAAATATCTGCTTCAGACAAGCTAAAATTATGATGACGAAGCTTCTTAACCACATCCGCCTGAGTGGCACACGTTTCATTTGTCACAAATCGTACTGGAATGCCAGCCTTCCTTAACCTGAGAAAGAAAGAAAGGAAAAATTAAGAAGAATCTTTCAGAAACATTTTGGCAGTTTACTAGTGCCATAAACTAAGCATATGTTTATGGCACTAGTAAAGTAGAGGGCACCCAAAAAAAAATTCAAATTCAAAAAATCATTTTATGCTTTATATTTACTTAATCTAGTGTCCAATGTAATGAAACACCTCTTATTGTTTGGTCCCCTGTTGGCTCCCCATGCCACATGCATGTATACTATAGTGCCACACTCTATACTATAGTGCCATGTGTACTAAAGTACCAAGTTGAAGACAACGATGCCATGCTGCTAATAATAAGAATTTATTTACTTATTTATTCATATACAAGAAAAAACAATAGATTAGTAAAGGAGTATATATGCTGGTGGGCGAGTAGCACAGTAGAGACAGTTTGAAACCAAAAATTTGAAAACCAAAACTAATTTTCCCATAAGAAATACTGTACTGCAATGTAAATTGAATTAATCTGTTACACACTCCCAAAAATATTAACTTAAAAATACATTTTATACATACTACTGTACTACTTATATTTTGTACTACAGTGTGTACAAGTACAGTGGTACCTCGGATTACGAGTGTCCCTGGTTACGAGTTTTTCGGGTTACGAGCAGGATTTGCTTGGAAAATTTGGATGGGAATAAGAGCGTTGCCTCGGGATACGAGGGTGTTGATACGCGTACCGGCCGACCTAGCGCGTGGTGGCATGGCGATCGCGCCTCAGTTTACCAGAGCCTCGCACCTAGTGAATATCCCACCTGAATTCTTCACAAGGATTTACAGTTTGTTGCCAGATTTTTGGCCATTTGAGCATAAAAGTTGTTATTATATATTTTGCCATGGGTCCCAAGAAAGCCAGTGGTAAGGTTCAACCTAAGAAAATAGTTGTGAGTAGAGGCAGTAGAGGATGCCCCCTTCCTCATTAAGAAAATGTGTGAAGTATGGGAAGAACTGTAAAGTTTTGTTGAAAAAACTCACTCAGATAAAGCTGTAGCAGGCCGTTGCATTGACTTTTTAAATGACAATGTGATGTCTTACTACAGACAAGTGTTGCATAGAAGGGAAAAACAATCTTCAATGGATCGTTTCATTGTGAGAAAATCAAGCAGTGAGCCACAGCCAGGACCTAGTGGTATGCAGGCAAAACGTGCCAGAGAATGCACTCCAGAAAAATCTTTACTGCCTGATGTTATAATGGAAGGGGACTCCCCTTCCAAACAGTAACACCTCTTCTTCTCCCTCCTCCTCACCATCTTCCATATGCCAACAGGAGTCATCATCAAGGGTAATAACTTGAACATACTTTTGTAGTGTAGATTTGGATGAATTAGGTATAAAATTTAGTTTGAAGTGAGGTTTTGGGTAGTCAGGAACAGATTAATTCATATCCCATTATTTCTTATGGGGAAATTAGCTTTAGTTTATGAGTTTTCGGGTTACGAGCTGTCTCCAGGAACGGATTAAACTCTTAAACCGAGGTACCCCTGTATATCTTACCTTTATTGAGAACTCTTGTTGACGTATGGAAGAGTGAGGAAGGGGGGAGGAGGAGAGGTGTTAGTGTTTGGAAGGGAAATCCCCTTCCATTATAACTGCAGTGATGACATTTGTGGGGCTCACTCTCTTACATTTTGCAGGCATACCACTAGGACCTGGCTGTGACTCACTGTTTGTTTGTCTTAATAAGAATCTGTCTATAGCCACTTGTTTTTCCCTACGTTTTAACACTTGTCTGTAGTGAAACATCACATTGTCTCACTATGAATGATCTCTTGTTTTTCCTCTATCATCATCCTCACAACTATTTTCTTAGGTTGAACTTTACCACCGACTTTCTTGGAACCCATGGAGTGATATACAGTATATATAATAAGAACGTTTATGTTCAAAAAACAAAAAATCACAAAAACAATTAAATTCTTCACAAAGAATTCAAGTACGTTGTCACTAGGCAGGAGACACTGGTAAACCGAGGCGTGCCACACGCTCGGTTGACCCATACCTGTACAACAAACTCGAGCACCGAGGCAAACCTCGAGTACCGAGATTAATTTTTTGAAGAAATTGAGCTCAAGAACAGAAAAATTTGAAAACAGAGGCATTCCAAAACCGAGGTTCCGCTGTACATTCTTGCAAAAGCATTCTAGGCAGGTCCTGAAGCTAACAGAATATGAATTCATGTAATGAACATCAGTACTTGTATATAGAGAGAAAATAAAATTATAGTGATGAAGTTGCATTTCTACACTGTAATATATTGGGTGAGTAAGTAGCACAAGGTGGGATACTATGAAGATAAAATTACATAGGTACTTCATAGTTTTATGAAGTACCTAATAAAGTTTTGAATAGAGTACAGGTTGGACATTTTTTAATTCATTGGGGAGTGAGTGCCATATAAAGTATTGGGTTCTTTTATTTGCAGGGAATGTTTCCATTGATTTAGTCTGACTCTGGGAATATCAAGGAGATTTATTTCTGTAATGATGGTCATGGGTTCTATTACATCAAGAAGAGTTTCAAAACATAAATAGAATTTAGGAATAGGGTTTTGTATGTATAAATAGCACAAGGGAATGTGTGTGGAGTATAGGTTTAAGCATATTTAGGGATTTAAACAGAGGAGCTATGTGTTGCCTGAAGATAGATTTTGTTGTACTTTTGATAGCTAATTTTTGCTGGGTGATGATGGGGTTAAGGTAGTTTGCAGTGGTTGAACCCCATGCACAGATGCCGTAAGTTTAATAGGGAAAGATTAGTGAGTAGTATACCTTAAGAAAAGTAGAGTGAGGAACATAATACTGTATCTGACTTTTGAGAGAATACCAAGTTTTATTTTACTTTTTTTTGGCTAAGTGCTGTATGTGAGTACTGAAATTAAGTCTCGTGTCTATGTATAGGCCAAGAAACTGGGCCTCATTTTTACTATTAATGCTGAAATGCTGTTCGTTTGAGTGGCTTTAGGCATACTTGCCCTACCTAGAAATCCAATCTTTTGTATCTTATTTTGTATGTACTGTATGTACTTTTACCCAAAGAAAAAAAAATACAGCCCTCTAGGAAATGCTTGTCAGGATTGGCATTGCAGGTCAGAGTTTTATAGATACTGTACAGAGAATGCTTGAGAATATGTGCAGAGATGATATTTACCATGTTTAAGGATTTCCGTAAGGGAAAAGACTGGTGTCTGAAACTTGATTTTTTATTATTCTAATTGTTGATTTTTGTTGAGTAATTAGGACTCAGAGGTAATTAAAAGTGGTAGGGCCCTAGGCATAGATACCATTGGTGAAATATGGATAAACGAGTGAATAATACAGAGTTACAGTACTAGAACAGGAAAAGGTACATAGCATCTGACTTTGGAGAGAATGTCTACAATTTCTGAATTTTTTTTTAATTATAAAGTACAGAGGAACCACGAGTGATGAGCAGCCCCATCTACGAGCATTTCAGGTAACGAGTGAGATACTCGCAGAAAATGTCTTGATTGACGAGCTTCTGCTCGGTTAACGAGAAAACCACGTGGTGCTTCGTAGCGTTCTCGCTGGCTCTCGCAAATTCTCAGACGCCTCTGACGACAGTGTTTTATTGTGCAGGATAAGCATCCCTCTGCATTTATTTGTTCTTTTCTTTGTTTTTTTGTGGTTTTGCGACTACAATTTGTATCCCACGATGTCACCAAAGAAACTGCTTGCTAAAAATAGTGTTGTCAAGAGGAAGAAAGACACAATTACTGTAGATTTGAAGTAAGAAATCATAGCAAAGCACGAGTGTGGTGTTCGTGTGACTTGTTTAATGACAATTTGGTGTCTTGTTTTAGGGACATCCTAAAACGAAGACAAAAGCAAGCGTCAAAAAGATACGTTCTTTGGAAAGGTGAGAAAAGACGAGTACAGTAAGTGATAGTGAACCACAACCCGGTCTCAGTGGGGTGAAATTCTCAAGAAGAGAGAGCTTGCCTGACTCAGAGGTGGTTTCTCCTTCCACACCATAACCCCTCTTCTCCTCCTCCCCACCTCCCAATCGTCTCCCTCAAGCCAGCAACAACTCTTCATAAGGTAAAGTACTGTACAATTGAAAACAGGAAAACAAAACATTTATAATAACTACATGTACTGGTATTATAATTACATTATAACATTTTATAGTGATGTTTTTCGGAGATGGAACGGATTAAGTGTACTGTATTTCCATTATTTTAAATGGGGAAATTCGTTTCACAAGACTAGCATTTCCCATGACGAGCTCGGTGCCGGAACGGATTAAATTTGTTAACCAACGTTCCTCTGTATATTGTATAGGGTAATGAAAATTTAGTTTGTTGTCATAGTGAGCACCAAGGAACTTCCCATCTACTCTGCTCATAATTTGGGTATTGTTATTCTTAAAATAACAAATCTTAGAACAATATGAGTGTTGTACTTTGTACCAAACAATATGTAAAACATCTAATCGATGTTAAGGGCAAGTTTGTTAGCAGTCAACCACAAATGAACTTCAATTAGTTCAGTATTCACCGTGTCGTTTAAAGTAAGTGGGTTAACATGGGAGAACATGAAGGTTGAGTCATCACCAGATAGAACTGGCTGCTAGTGTTATGTGGTATTAGAAACATCATTGATGTATATGAAAAAAACCAACGTTGAATGTAATGAAACTCCATTTTCTGGGTGAGTCCCGGAGGCTCCCCGGAGCTATCCCAGGCTGATATGCTAATGTCAGACTTTGGCATCAATCATGTGTATGGAGTTCTTAGGCCTACCGGGGACCACGGCCAGAACCGGGCCCCCTCAGAGAGGCAAGGGGAGCAATGGCCTATAGAAGCCCCCGTGTGGTTGGAAGCATTCTATGTCTGCCATCGACCGGAACAGGCACCCAGAAAGGTAAGCGCCTCAAAACAAACCCATATTCTGGTTAAAATTGCTACCAAAAGCCGAACTAGTAGATAGAACTCCCCAACCGAAAACAAGCAAACTAGTGTGACGTCACACACTGCCGCGCCGCTGTCTGCGCAGCTCCCCCCTCCCCGGGAGGGGGAAGGGGGAGCCCCAGACCCCCCGCGCCGGCTACCCACACCTCAGTTCTTGAGGCTGGATGTCAAAAACGTGAAAAACCGCTGACCGGAGGGAGGGAGGGATGCCGGGGAGCCTCCGGGACTCACCCAGAAAATGGCGTTTCATTACATTCAACGCTGGTTTTCTGGGGGGAGCCCCGTCGGCTCCCCGGAGCTAACTACCCACAGACGGAAAAAGAGGGACTTACCCGGGAGACGGTCGTCGCTCACTCCTCAACTCGAAGCCGAGACAACTGGCTGCAACCGCCGACCCAAAGCAACACAGGCCCGATGGGGCCCAGGTACATTCACAAGGTAACGAGCAGCCAGGACCCTGTTCGACCGCCAAAATCCCCGCGCCCGAATATCAGACCAAGACATATTCCCAAAGACGGCAGCAAGAGCCGCGAACTTACGAACGTCATGGGCACGGGGAACCCGCGAACAGGGAAGAAGGGAAACCGGATCAACCCACAGCGCATCCCCGGACACAGAAGCCGTGGCGCGTAAATAACGGCGAAGCGCTGCAACCGGACACAAAACATGATGTACCCCCGGTCTGACCAACCAAGCATCAACCACCCATGGACCCCTCCGGAACGCAGCAGTCTCATTCTTCGCCAGAAAAGAAGGAGACGGCTGCAAACGAACAAAACTATCACCACGACCAAAAGAGCAGAAAAACAAAAAGAAAAACAAAACCCCGCAAGAGGACAGCGAACCCCAAGGAACAGAGCCGGCCACGATGTCGGGAATACAAGCTGAGCAGCACCCTGCGCCCCTACCAGTGCAAACTGCCTCTTACCTGCCGGTAACAAGGGAAAACAGAACACCCAAGAGCCCAACAGGCGGCTGAAAAACCAAAAGGTAAAACGGACCAGCAGAGGCAGACCCCGAGGAGCCTGTGGAAGGTGGCCCCAAGCCCCAAGGGCAGTACTTACACCTAGGGAAGGCAGCCCTAGGCGCATGCAGCCCGAGTACTGAAGATAACTCCTGGCTCTCGCACCCACAAAACCAACACCACACGCAAAGCACAGTGCAGTAGCGACACCGGAGCCAGAGCACACGACCATCGCCTATAGCATCAGCCTCAAGAACTGAGGTGTGGGTAGCCGGCGTGGAGGGTCTGGGGCTCCCCCTTCCCCCTCCCGGGGAGGGGGGGGAGCTGCGCAGACAGCGGCACGGCGGTGTGTGACGTCACACTAGTTTGCTTGTTTTCGGTTGGGGAGTTCTATCTACTAGTTCAGCTTTTGGTAGCAATTTTAACCAGAATAGGGGTTTGTTTTGAGGCGCTTACCTTTCTGGGTGCCTGTTCCGGTCGATGGCAGACTTAGAATGCTTTCAACCACACGGGGGCTTCTATAGGCCATTGCTCCCCTTGCCTCTCTGAGGGGGCCCGGTTCTGGCCGTGGTCGCCGGTAGGCCTAAGAACTCCATACACATGACTGATGCCAAAGTCTGACATTAGCATATCAGCCTGGGATAGCTCCAGGGAGCCGACGGGGCTCCCCCCAGATAAGGAGTGGACCAAGTATCCTACCCTGTGGATTGCCAATGTTAACTGGCTGAGCGGGAGTACAGGGCTGTAGTATTGTTCACAGAAACATACTACTGCCTGTCACTGAGGTAAGATTGCAAGAGGGAAATAGGTGAAAAAGATTTAATGTGAGAACACTACATTAGTTACAGGGGCTTTACTCAATGAAACACAAATAAGCACAGTGAACAGTGCATTTACAGCCAGAATTGTCCTGGTTTAATTCGTGCACCAGAACAGAAATGTGTGGTCATGTTTCTTTTGATGGATGCCTTTGTTCACTTAAACAGTAAATAGGTAAATGGGTTGCATCCTGGAAGGTTAGTAATTGGCTTAGATAAGGCTAACAGGATTTCTGACCCCTGACTATTGGAAACCATTTGACAATGTACTCTCAAGACACATGTGAAAAGAAAAGTTAATCTGTGAAATACATCTAAAATAACTTTGAATAAATATTATAGTTTAGGTAACTGACCTTGCTACAGCATCAACACTGCCTGGTATGGCAGTACCAAAGCCTTCCCCAGATTCATAAAGGACTCCAGTAATATCAAGAAGCACACCTTTTATGGGCTGCTTCAGCCATTTTTTTACTGCCGTCATAGAAAAATTCTGAAAATGAAACATTCATCAAGATAATCATGTGACATTTTCATACTTGGAACACTTTCTTAAACTACAATAAAACCCAAACGGCCAAGAAATATAACACCAAGCTAGTTTATCACATTAATTAATTTGTTAATTCAAGTTTGATAATTAATCCAGGATTAATTAATCTTGTCTGTCTCTGGTCTTACCTAAGTAATCACCTAAGTGTACACCGTAGTTACTGGATGAGAGCTACGCTTGTAGTGTCCCATCTTCCCAGCACTGTCAAATAATGCTTTGAAACTACTAACAGTTTTGGCCTCCACCACCTTCTCATTTAAATTGTTCCAACCACTGTTTGCAAAAGAAACTTTCTAATATTTTTTTTGCATCTTTGTTTCCTTAGCTTGAATTTGCATCCTCCCATTCTTGAAATTGTTGGTTTCAGGAATTCCTCTTTGTCAATTCGGTCGATTCCTGTTATTATTTTGTAAGTGTGATCATATAATCTCTGTTTCTTCTATTTTCTAGCATTGGCATATTTAAGAGTTAGCCTCTCCTCATAATTCTTGTTTTTCAGTTCTGGAAGCCATTTTGTAGCATGCCATTGCACCTTTTCCAGTTTATTGATGTGCTTCTTTAGATATGGGCACCATACAACTGCTAGATGTTTCAGTTTTGGTCTCATAAAAGTAATGAACAGTTTCTTTAGTACAGTATTTCACCTTCCATGTAATTAAAAGCAAGTTTAAAGTTGGAAAGTGATGCATATGCTCCTCTCACAATGTTCTTTATGTGTTCCTCTTAACTGTCAATCAACTGTTGTACAGATTCCTGAGTCTGTTGGGCTTTATCACCTCTACATATGAAACTGTGCACGGAGTCTGCCTCCACATCACTGCCTAATGCATTCCATTTAACTACCCTGACACTGAAAAAATGATTTCTAATGTCTATGTGGCTCATTTGGGTACTAAAGTTTACACCTGTGTCCTCTTGTTCATGTTTCACCCATGCTAAATAGTTTGCCTTTGTAACCCTGTCAATTCCACTGAGAATTTTGTAGGTGGTAATCATGTCTCCCGTTACTCTTCTGTCTTCCAGCAATGTGAGGTTTAACTTCCATAGCCTTTCCTCGTAACTCATACCTCTCAGTTCTGGGACTAGTCTGGTAGCATACGCCTGACAGCTGAGTGGACAGCACTTCGGATTCGTAGTCCTGAGGTTCTGGGTTCAATCCCCGGTGGAGGCGGAGACAAATGGGCAAAATGTTTCTTTCACCCTGATGTCCCTGTTACCTAGCAGTATATGGGTACCTGGGAGTTAGACAGCTGCTACGGGCTGCTTCCTGGGGGGGTATAACAAAATGCAGGCCTGGTCGAGGATCGGGCCGCGGGGACGCATGCCCCGAAATCATCTCAAGATAACCTCAAGATACCACTGAATCTTCTCCAACTTAGTCTTGTGTTTAACTAGGTATGGACTCCAGGCTGGAGCAGCATACTCCAGGATTGGTCTGACATAAGTGGTATACAAGGTTCTGAGTGTTTCCTTACACAGGTTTCTAAACGCAGTTCTTATGTTTGCCAATCTAGCATATGCCACTGATGATATCCTTTTGATGTGGGTTTCTGGGGACAGGTTGGTCATAGGTCATAGAATTATATTAAGCCTGTGAGGCACGATTCACCATCCCTGTAACCATGCTGGTGGTGTTACAAAGCTCCTTCTCTCCAGATGTTCTATGAGCATTTTCCTCACTATCTTCTCCATCACCTTGCATGGTATACATGTTAGGGAAACTGGCCTGTAGTTCAGTGCCTCTTGCTTGTCACCCTTTTTGTATATTGGGACTAAATAATAATAATAATAATAATAATAATATTACTAATTGTTATTCACAAGAAGGTACAATGGGTTGGTGAGATTACATAAGATTGGTATTTTTACACTCTTGCAAAGTCACTAACATGCATAGCGTTTCTGGCAGGTCCTTAATCTAACACATCAGGTAAGATGTCAGTTTTTTCATTAGCTGTCTTCTAGATTTCTGGTAGTTCTCATGTTTCCAGGCTATATTTACTATTTGTGTCAGCAGAATCAAGCTACAGTATTTAGCTCTTGGACCCCACCTTTCTTACCAATCTCTTTTTCCTCTATTATGTCTACTACATATATTTCTAACACATGCATACACACACACACGTGTGGAAAAAGGCTAACAAAGTTCCAATCTACAAAAGTGGCAGCAGAGAAGACCCCCTTAATTATAGACCTGTATCACTGACAAGTGTAATAGTCAAAATATTGGAAAAAATAATTAAAACTAAATGGGTAGAACACCTGGAGACAAACAATATAATATCAGATCGTCAGTATGGTTTTTGCTCTGGAAGATCCTGTGCAACAAATTTGCTCAGTTTCAATGATCAAGCCACAGAGATTTTACCGGAAAGGGATGGTTGGGTTGACTGCATCTATCTGGACCTAAAAAAAGGCTTTCGACAGAATTCCACATAAAAGGTTGTTCTGGAAATTAGAACACATTGGAGGGGGTGACAGGTAATCTTCTAACATGGATGACAAATTTTCTGACTGATAGAAAAATGAGGGCAGTAATAAGAGGAAGTGTATCGGACTGGAAAAATGTCACAAGCGGAGTACCATAGGGTTCAGTTCTTGCACCGGTAATGTTCATTGTCTACATAAACGATCTACCAGATGGAATACAGAATTATATGAACATGTTTGCTGATGATGCTAAGATAATAGGGAAGATAAGTAACTTAGATGATTGGCATACCCTTCAAGAAGACCTGGATAAAATAAGTATATGGAGCAACACTTGGCAAATGGAATTTAATGTAAATAAATGCCATGTTATGGAATGTGGAATAGGAGAACATAGACCCCACACAATCTATAAACTATGTGAGAAATCTTTAAAGAAGTCTGAAAAAGAAAGAGATCTAGGTGTGGTTCTAAACAAAAAACTATCACCTGAGGATCATATTAAGAACATTGTGCGAGGGGCCTATGCTACACTTTCAAACTTCAGAATTGCTTTTTAATACATGGATGGCAAAATACTAAAGAAACTATTCACAACTTTTGTTAGACCAATGCTGGAATATGCAGCAGTTGTATGGTGCCCATATCTAAAAAAGCACATCAACAAACTGGAAAAGGTGCAAAGACATGCCACTAGGAGGCTCCCAAAACTGAAGGATAAGAGTTACAAGGAGAGGTTACAGGCATTAAATATGCCTAAACTAGAAGACAGAGGAAAAAGAGGTGATATGATCACTACATACAAAATAGTAACAGTAATTGATAAAATTAATAGGGAAGATTTCCCAAGACCTGGAACTTCAAGAACAAGAGGTTATAGATATAAACTAGCTAAACAAAGATGCCGAAGAAATATAAGGAAATTCACTTTCGCAAACAGAGTGGTAGATGGTTGGAACAAGTTAGGTGAGAAGGTGGTGGAGGCCAAAACCGTTAGTAGTTTCAAAGCGTTATACTACAAAGAGTGCTGGGAAGATGGGACACCACAAGCATAGCTCTCATCCTGTAACTACACTTAGGTAATTACACACACGTCCCCAGGAAGCAGCCCATAGTAGGGCTGTTCATGAAGCCGACATCCATCACCATATACCAGCCAAAAAAGGTAAATGCGTAGAGCACCATAGAAAAGCAAGATTGGCTTTTGCCAGAAGATATGTCAAGGAAAATCTCGATTACTGAGCTCGTGCAATCTTCAGTGATGAGAAGATATTCACATCAGTAAATCATGGCAGATTACACTGCTATATTTGTAGCCTTCTGTTTAACTTTGTTTCAATCTTTGTACAAGTCCGAAGAGTTGTTTTCAGTATTTTTATTTTATGTTTATTTTTGTGTTATATTATAGCGAACAAAGTCAAGTTGTATGTAAACTGTTATAGTAATTTGTTTTGTTTATTTGGTTTATATTTTATAATTTAGTTTATTTTTATAATTAGTTTATATTTTCTACTTTTTCTGATTCTTTAATTCCTGTCCTCATACTCACACCGCTACATGTAGCATTTTAAAAACACTACAATCACTTTCTGTGGTTGATTATTCAATAAATCACTGAACTATATGTTTAACAGATCTCTAACCCTGTCCATGGAGGACAGAAGAAAATGTACACATGCAGGTTAGCATTGCAAATGTGCGGCCACGTTGATGGTAGAACAAAAAATACCGCAAAAGCAAATGCGGTATTTGCTTTTTATGCCAACGTGAAGCATACCACCTGATGGGTATGACCACAGTACCTGCTCACATAACAAAATGCATGTGTACAATTTGGCCATACCCCAATTAAAACTGGATATTAGTAACATCATACACAAGACAGTTTACAAATGGATATAAAACCTACCTAACTTTTCATAACTTAACATGAACCAACATAAACAACCTAATTCAATCGAGCATAACCTAAATTAATACATACATCCTAACTAAATAATATATACAGTTTTAACAAAGAGGAAAACGAGCTTTGTCAAACTGTCTTTTGCAATATTTGACCATAAACCTATTATAGGGACTGGTGCCAAGCCTGCACACACAAACATCACCTCATGAGACCAGGAAGCATGGCAGAATTTACAAAATTATACTGTTGAAAAGTACAGATGCAACATGTATGCTGAGCGAGAACTCTATCAACGTCAAATGCTCAAGACTTTTTCAACATTCTCCCTTTACATATAAGAGGCATAACTGAGTAAACTTTTATGGTGTTTAAAAAAGACTTGATAAACACCTCCAAAGGATAGCTGATCAGCCAGACTGTGATTCATATGCCAGGTTGCGATAATGAATAATGATAATGATAATGAATAATGATAATGATAATGAATAATAATTCATTATTATTCATACTGGAGCCTGACAGGCTCCAGTATGTTTCTGTGACTAATTCAATTTCTCTCACCCTACCCATCAACTTCCTCAAAGCAGCATACTTGGCCCTCTCCTCTTTCTCATCTACATTAATGACCTTCCAAATAACTCCCAAAACCTCAAACCAATTCTATTTGCTGACGACACAACCTTCCTTTACTCCAGTCCTGACCCCCTTGCTCTAAATGTCACAGTGAATACTGAGCTAAATAAAGTCCATCTCTGGCTAACTGCCAACAAACTCACCCTCAACATTGACAAAACTTTCTATATTTTGTTTGGCAATTAATCCTCAAATCAACTAAATCTTAGGATAAATAATACCCAAATTTGTAACAAATTAGATGGCAAATTCCTTGGCATTTTCATTGACCACAAGCTGAATTTCCAGGGACACATTCTAAATATATCAAAAAAAGTTTCAAAAACTGTTGGCATTCTTTCTAAGATCAGATATTATGTACCCCGCCCTGCCCTGGTGACTCTCTATTACTCCCTTATCTATCCATATCTCAACTATGGTATTTGTGCTTGGGGCTCTACTACCCAAAATCATTTACGTCCTCTAATTACTCAACACAAAGCTGCTATTAGGACAATATCCAACTCTGGCCCCAGACATCACTCGGTACCCCTACTCAAATCTCTGAATATGTTAGATATTAAGTCACTGCACATTCTCTCATGTGTATTATACATATATAAAACGCTAAACTGTAATGCCAATCCTGACCTCAAAAGCTTCATAGAAGGTTGTAACAGAACCCATGAGCACCACACCAGAAATAAATACAGTTTTGATATTCCTAGAGTACGACTTAATCAAACTAGAAATGCTCTACAAATCAAGGGACCCAGATTGTGGAATGACCTTCCCAACCATGTTAAAGACTGTACGTCTCTCTCAACCAGTTTAAGGTAAAAACGAAGCTATACCTAATAAATTCCCTGTAACCTACCTTACCCCTCTATTGTCAACCAATGTCTGTTTTTTTTAAATGGCGCTGTTTGTCGACAGAATTGTATTTGTGCTGCTTTTTCAGCCATGTTCCCCCCTTTTTTATCTCTTTTTTTTATTTGTTCTCAACTCATTTTATTCTTTATGCTCAATTAGTATTAAGCTTTAGTCATTTAAGTTTTTCATGCCCGAAACGCTTTGCATAATAGTGGCTTTCGGCATTGTATGTACTAGCTCTATCTATAAATTCATCAATATTTGTATCACCCCTTGTGTGTATGTACTTTACCTGAATAAACATTTGAATTTGAATTTTGAATTTTTAGGTGAATACCTAGGGTCCGTCTAATTACCACAAGCTTCACAAAGCTTCCTGGCAATACATTAGTAATGAATAAATATGATATGTTAGGTTAGGCTGACCTAACCAAACCTAACCTAACCGATGCTTGGATCGTCGACTTGATTTGGCGTCACCAGCTTTTTTTTTTTTTTTTTAGATATATACAAGAGTTGTTACATTCTTGTATAGCCACTAGTACGCGTAGCGTTTCGGGCAGGTCCCTGGAATACGATCCCCGCCGCGAAGAATGGTTGTTACAACCAAGTACACATTTTACTGTTGAGTTAAACAGAGGCTACAGTTAAGGATTTGCGCCCAGTAAATCCTCCCCGGCCAGGATACGAACCCATGACAAAGCGCTCGCGGAACGCCGGGCGAGTGTCTTACCACTGCACCACGGAGACTGGTGAAGACTGGAGACTGGAGCTCTTTATTTTTGTCTAATTTCTTTATAAAAAGATACTTTTTCAGATTAAAATTATGTTTTTTCGTGTTGTACATTCAGCACCAACATTATAATGAGTAAATATATCATATTTATTCATTACTAACGTATTGCCAGGAAGCTTTGTGAAGCTTCATGCCCGAAACGCTTTGCGTAATAGTGGCTTTAGGCATTGTATGTACTAGCTCTACCTATAAGTCAAACAATCCTTGTAAATATTTATTGTATGTATGTACCTTACCTAAATAAAATTGTATTGTATTGTATTGTATTGCTTGTGGTAATTAGACGGACCGAATACCTAGTAGGGAGTAGGTACCCAGGAGTTAGTGAGCTTGTTGTAGGGGGATGTATCCTGGACGGGGTCAGTAATTCGACCCTGAGGGAGGGACCTAATCTCTACTGTATGTATAAATTGGCTGCCTGTCCCCTGGCACAATGAATTATTAGTATAACTCATAAATAATTCAGGTAAATATGGCAGGAAGGTTCACCTGTTTACACTATCAGCTGACTCCAGTGTTGCCAAGTCCTCGCTCCCTAACACTCCCAAAACCTTCTCCAGCGTCTAAATTATCTCCAGCTTTTAAATCAAAGAAAAATTCGAATAATAAACAATAACATCGACTGTATTAAAAATCGACTGTAATGTTTTTATTAACAAGCTATATTAACATATTCTATATGAAGGATTGTGAATGTAAAAACACTAATGTTCAATGTACCTTCTCCTAAACTAACAACCTTCTTGTAAATAAATAAGTAAATAAATAAACTAAATAAGGAAAATAAATAAATTACAAAGTAGGAATATTGGAAACTAGTTCTTGATCTACACTGTAATATCTCATAGAATATGGTAGCAGCACGTTTCTGTAATTACCTAAGTGTAATTACCTAAGTGTAGTTACAGGATGAGAGCTACGCTCGTGGTGTCCCGTCTTCCCAGCACTCTTTGTCATATAACGCTTTGAAACTACTGACGGTCTTGGCCTCCACCACCTTCTCACTTAACTTGTTCCAACCGTCTACCACTCTATTTGCGAAGGTGAATTTTCTTATATTTCTTCGGCATCTGTGTTTAGCTAGTTTAAATCTATGACCTCTTGTTCTTGAAGTTCCAGGTCTCAGGAAGTCTTCCCTGTCGATTTTGTCAATTCCTGTTACTATTTTGTATGTAGTGATCATATCACCTCTTTTTCTTCTGTCTTCTAGTTTTGGCATATTTAATGCTTCTAACCTCTCCTCGTAGCTCTTGCCCTTCAGTTCTGGGAGCCACTTAGTAGCATGTCTTTGCACCTTTTCCAGTTTGTTGATGTGCTTCTTAAGATATGGGCACCACACAACAGCTGCATATTCTAGCTTTGGCCTAACAAAAGTCATGAACAATTTCTTTAGTATATCGCCATCCATGTATTTAAATGCAATTCTGAAGTTAGAAAGCATAGCATAGGCTCCTTGCACAATATTCTTTATGTGGTCCTCAGGTGATAGTTTTCTATCTAGAACCACTCCTAGATCTCTTTCTTTATCAGAATTCTTTAAAGATTTCTCACATAATATATAGGTTGTGTGGGGTCTATGTTCTCCTATTCCACATTCCATAACATGACATTTATTAACATTAAATTCCATTTGCCAAGTGGTGCTCCATATACTTATTTTGTCCAGGTCTTTTTGAAGGGCATGACAGTCATCTAAATTTCTTATCCTTCCTATGTGTATACCTAATTTTGTTAACAAAAAAAGGGGGGATGGTCGAACCTCTTCTCACCCCTCCGGGCCCCCTCCGGGCCCCCTCCGGGCCCCCTCCATTCCCAACCCCAACTGAGAGCCACGGAAAGTTAGTTTAGTTTATTTATTATGCACCCCATACCCATCTGTTGGGCGGTAGTGGAAAGGGTTACAGAGGCACATAATGGGCCCAGGGACTGAACCCCACAGTTCATTTAGCTAATGCTTCATCATCTGTCAAGCACCAAGTGCACCACAGGGCCAGACGACAGGTGTATGTTCAACCTGCGGCTGCCAGTCAGGTGCCAGGAACCTGCCTCCTGGAGGTGTTGACACAACACTCGCCATACCCTTCACACCACCATGAAGAGCAGTTGCCAAATGCTGCCATCAGTCCCACTCGCTGCTCAGAGCCATCTGGAGGTGATGTTCTCTCCAGCTGGCTGCCAAACTCACCACCTTTAAATTACGAAGTGCACAATGGGACCGGTGCCAGACCGAAGACTCGTGCCATCTTCCCAGCTCCCCCAAAAGCACCAGCCCCTGATGTAGAGTGGCATATGATCGGGATTCCTCCCTTGCTCCTAACTAATTCTATTGCTGTCCTGAATCTCTGTATTAGTTCCTCACTCCTAACTCGCCCAACATCATTACCCCCTGCACTAATACAAATAATGGGTTTGTTCCCATTTCCCGTCATAATATCATTCATGTTTCCAACAATATCACCAATACCAGCTCCCGGATAGCAAACCCTTAACCTGTTTCCATTATCTCTGGCACAAAACGTTGTCTAAATACCTCACCTGGGAATCTCCCACAACCAAAATTCGCTTCGTTCCTCCCTTTTCCTTTAGGGCACTTTGAGGGACCTGCGCTTCATTGTTCCTCGTTGCTTTGCCTTTGCCTCCTCGTTGAACATAAGAACATAACATAAGAACAAAGGTAACTGCAGAAGGCCTATTGGCCCATTCGAGGCAGCTCCTATTCTATAACCACCCAATCCCACTCATATACTTGTCCAACCCGTGCTTGAAACAATCGAGGGACCCCACCTCCACAATGTTACGCGGCAATTGGTTCCACAAATCAACAACCCTGTTACTGAACCAGTATTTACCCAAGTCTTTCCTAAATCTAAACTTATCCAATTTATACCCATTGTTTCGTGTTCTGTCCTGTGTTGATACTTTTAATACCCTATTAATATCCCCCCGGTTATGTCCATTCATCCACTTGTAAACCTCTATCATGTCACCCCTAACTCTTCGCCTTTCCAGTGAATGCAACTTAAGCTTTGTTAATCTTTCTTCATATGAAAGATTTCTAATTTGGGGAATTAACTTAGTCATCCTACGCTGGACACGTTCAAGTGAATTTATATCCATTCTATAATATGGCGACCAAAACTGAACTGCATAATCTAAATGGGGCCTAACTAGAGCAAGATATAGCTTGAGAACCACACCAGGTGTCTTGTTACTAACGCTGCGATTAATAAATCCAAGTGTCCGATTTGCCTTATTACGAACATTTATGCATTGATCCTTTTGTTTTAAATTCTTACTAATCATAACTCCCAGATCCCTTTCGCAATCCGACTTCGCAATCACAACACCATCTAGCTCGTATCTTGTAACTCTATCATCATTACCTAAACTCAGAACTTTCGTCCTCTAACACATCAAATGCGTTAGAAGTCCTTAGGCTTTTAGGTGTCGGTTTTGCCAAGGTCTTCTTTACATCCCTGTCCTTTACAACTTGCCAAGACGAGGTTTTTTTAACACTGGTCGCCTCCTTTGTTTCTTCCTGATGTTGTTTCAGCTACATAAGAACATAAGAACAAAGGTAACTGCAGAAGGCCTATTGGCCCATTCGAGGCAGCTCCTATTCTATAACCATCCAATCCCACTCATATACTTGTCCAATCCGCGCTTGAAACAATCGAGGGACCCCACCTCCACCACGTTACGCGGCAATTGGTTCCACAAATCAACAACCCTGTTACTGAACCAGTATTTACCCAAGTCTTTCCTAAATCTAAACTTATCCAATTTATACCCATTGTTTCGTGTTCTGTCCTGTGTTGATACTTTTAATACCCTATTAATATCCCCCTTGTTATGTCCATTCACCCACTTGTAAACCTCTATCATGTCGCCCCTAACTCTTCGCCTTTCCAAACGAACATAAGAACATAAGAACAAAGGTAACTGCAGAAGGCCTATTGGCCCATACAAGGCAGCTCCTATTCTATAACCACCCAATCCCACTCATATACTTGTCCAACCCGTGCTTGAAACAATCGAGGGACCCCACCTCCACAATGTTACGCGGCAATTGGTTCCACAAATCAACAACCCTGTTACTGAACCAGTATTTACCCAAGTCTTTCCTAAATCTAAACTTATCCAATTTATATCCATTGTTTCGTGTTCTGTCCTGTGTTGATACTTTTAATACCCTATTAATATCCCCCCGGTTATGTCCATTCATCCACTTGTAAACCTCTATCATGTCACCCCTAACTCTTCGCCTTTCCAGTGAATGCAACTTAAGCTTTGTTAATCTTTCTTCATATGAAAGATTTCTAATTTGGGGAATTAACTTAGTCATCCTACGCTGGACACGTTCAAGTGAATTTATATCCATTCTATAATATGGCGACCAAAACTGAACTGCATAATCTAAATGGGGCCTAACTAGAGCAAGATATAGCTTGAGAACCACACCAGGTGTCTTGTTACTAACGCTGCGATTAATAAATCCAAGTGTCCGATTTGCCTTATTACGAACATTTATGCATTGATCCTTTTGTTTTAAATTCTTACTAATCATAACTCCCAGATCCCTTTCGCAATCCGACTTCGCAATCACAACACCATCTAGCTCGTATCTTGTAACTCTATCATCATTACCTAACCTCAGAACTTTACATTTATCAGCATTAAACTGCATCTGCCAATCCTTTGACCATTTCAAAACCCTATCTAGATCAACTTGAAGTGATAGTGAGTCCTCCTCCGAATTAATTTCCCTACCGATTTTCGTATCATCGGCAAATTTGCAAATGTTGCTACTCAAACCTGAATCTAAATCATTTATATATATTATAAACAACAGAGGTCCCAGGACAGAGCCTTGAGGCACTCCACTTACAACATTTTCCCACTCTGACTTGATTCCATTTATACTAACTCTCTGTTTCCTTTGGTATAGCCATGCCCTAATCCAGCTTAATATAGCACCCCCAATACCATGAGACTCTATTTTTTTAATCAGTCTTTCATGTGGCACTGTATCAAAAGCTTTGCTAAAGTCAAGGTATACAACATCGCAATCCTTACCACTATCAACTGCCTCAACAATGCTAGAATAAAAAGATAACAAATTTGTTAAACATGAACGGCCATTTATAAAACCATGTTGCGACTCAATTATTAATTTATGTTTTTCAAGATGAAGACGAATTTTATTTGCTATTATAGATTCGAGTAACTTTCCCACAATAGACGTTAGGCTAATTGGTCGATAGTTAGACGCAAGTGATCTATCTCCTTTCTTAAAAACTGGTATCACATTAGCAACTTTCCAAAACTCTGGCACTCTGCCTGACTCTATTGATTTATTAAATATGGTTGACAGTGGGTCACAAAGCTCCTCTTTGCATTCTTTAAGCACCCTAGCAAACACTTCATCCGGCCCTGGGGATTTGTTTGGTTTGAGTTTTACTATTTGTTTAAGAACATCCTCCCTGGTAACTGCTAAACTCGTCAACCTGTCCTCGTCCCCACCCACATAGACTTGTTCGGCTGAAGGCATATTGTTAAGTTCAATATGCGAAGCTGGTACGAAGGAGGTACGAAGGAGG